ACCTCAATGTCGCGTAATAGTTGAACTGTCCTTGGTGTTGGGACCAACTCCTCTCAAACTCCTACACATAACAATCTCTGTTAATTACCCTTTCATACTCATAACCCCTTTAAGGGTCAACTCTAGTCAATGGTCAAAGTCAGAGTCAACATCCTAGTTGACTCAACTCGCCGAGTTGTTCCATCAACTCGTCGAATTCCATAATCAATACAACCCTGATATCTGTCGATTTTTTTCATGAACTCGTCGATATATTCCTTATAACACAGTGGGACCTTTTTCTCACAACTCGCCTAGTTCCTTCTTGAACTTGTCAAGTTCTCCTTCATACAGAGTCGTGACATTTTGCTCATAACTCTCCGAGTTCCTCCTTGAACTCATCGAGTTCTTCAATATTAAAGCCCAAAACATGTCCAACTCGCCGAGTCATCTAGTAGACTCAACAAGTTTACTCAATAACAAAAAAGGTTGGGGGACCACGACCCAACTCGTCGTGTTGTATGAACAACTCTTCGAGTCCCCTATAGTCTAAATCAAGACAATCGTTTCTAGTTGGGCTTACTGCATCCACATCATAGATATGGTTCCCTAGCATCGATAAATCATGTAAAGTTTCTAACTTTACGTCCATGCATGGCTTATTTAGCTCAGAAAGCCCTAAAAAGTGGTTCACAAGTTGCATGGGACTCCTATGGCCATAAAGTTGGCACCTTTATGCCATGGAGTCCCTCAAAGGCTCTGGATTTGAAGTCATGACTCAAAAAACATGCTTGCAATCATGAATGGTCCCAAAATAGTCTCCTTAAAACCCTAAACTACCCCATTAAGAGATCTAGTAAATGAATATACAAGGTATATAATTTATACCTCAAGTGAACTGAAATTTGAAGTTCTACTTCTGGATCCAAAGCTTCTTCCTTCCACCAAGTACTTCTAGCTTACACTCCTTCAAGGAAATACCAAAGAATAACTCCTTTTTCACTCACACACACTCACAAGGCTCAAGATCACAAATTAGGGTTTTTTTTGGACTGTGGGAGGCGATGAGTGAGGCCGCAATGGAATTTTAAGGTCCTTAAATAGTGTACAAACCTTGAAAATTAGGGCTTCACTCTAGCAGCGCTACTCGTTGAGTTGGGCTTCTCAACTCGTCGAGTAAACTTCAAGTACCACTTCCCAAAAATCTATTTCTACTCGGTGAGTTTAGGGCCTCTAACTCGTCGAGTCCCTTTGCAAAAATGAATAATTCTTATTAAAGTACATACAAAGAATTGGGCGTTACATGGAGTCTTTCATGAGAGATAACTCATATTAAAATAGGATAGTGGGAGTGCAATTGACCTTGAATAGATTCAAGAGTTAACTAAAAGGAATCTTAGAAGACAGTAGCTCTCAACCAGATGAGGAGAATCCTGTTGAGCCCATTAACAATTCATTACCTCTTGGTTGATCCAGTAAGGTTAGCATGATACCTTCATTACATGGAGTCTTTCGTGAGAGATAACTCATATTCAAATAGGATAGTAGGAGTGCAATTGACCTTGAATAGATTCAAGAGTCAACTAAAAGGAATCTTAGAAGACACTAGCTCTCAACCAAATGAGGAGAATCCTGTTGAGCCCATTAACAATTCATTACCTCTTGGTTGATCCAGTAAGGTTAGCATGATACCTTCATTATATGGTTTCCATATAACATCGAATGCTAACATGTTTCTCAATGATGGTACAATAGTAAAGTTAGATGAGCCAACTAACTACAAGGAAGCAATGGCAAGCCTTGAGGTTGCCAAGTGGAAAGAGGCAATGGACAGTGGGATCAAGTCTATGTATGATAACCAAGTTTGGAATTTGGTTGATAATGTACTAGGCTGGAAGACAGTTGGCTAAACAATTACATTTAGTCCTTGGCTTAAGTTATGTCTATCCAAACAATCGAGACTTTGAATTAAAACGGGGACTAGGTTATGGTATTTATTCCTGGTCACATAGGAATGTTTTGTGATCAAGAATGACGTTAAGAGTCGATTATTCCTGGCACAAAATATAAAATGAAGATACATCTTCGAATTATCAGTTTACTTTGAGGTTGATGCTTGTTGTCTTTATGGCTCTTTCTTGGATGTATATATGTATGTTGAGTGAGGCCTGTTGGGTGAGACCCGTTGTATTATTGGGTGAAGACTGTTGGGTGAGTCCCATTATATTATTGGGCGTGGCACGTTGGCTGAGACCCGTTATGTATGTTGGGCAAGGCCCGTTATGTATGTTTAGGGAGGCTAATATTGGTATGTGGTATCTTGGGTAACTCACTAATCTTTGTGCTTATGGTTTTAAGTTTAAATATTTTAGGTACTTCTTACAGAAACGGGAAGATTCAAGCTTGATTGCATCGCATCCACTCGAGATTTTCGCACTATTTTTTTTGACACTTTCCTTCACTTTTATATTTTCAAACTATAACTTATTATTCTAATGACCTTTGAGGAAATGTTATTGAATGGTTTTAGTATATTAAAAATGAAAATTTTACTCTATATTTTGAGGACGTTACATATAGGTCCCTTGAGATTATCGTTTTAGGATCGAAGTGTGTGTGTGTGTGTGTATATATATATATACACTTAACACACTATAATAATAATAATAATAATAATAATAATAATAATATTGTGGATTGAGACCCCTATGTACTCATCAGGCTTCGCAGCCTAACCCACTTAGTTTCTTGGTATCACAGGTAGCAGTACGAAGGTACATTGATAATGATGTTTGAATCCACTGAGAGATTCGAGGAGTTTAGGTCGTTAGTACAATAAGTTATCGTAAGGCATGTAATGACTATGTTTATGCATATGTTTCTTGTATCAGTTATGACATCCCAAGTTTTCAATAATTAATGAAAAATGTTTCTTCAAAAATTCTTTTACCTCATATATCTATTATGGGAAAAATTCCACGTTTATAAAGTATACTCTATTTTAAAATAAGTGTTCATAAAAGGTCTTTTCAAATCGTGTAAAATGGGGATGACCTAGTTGATATTAGAGCATTAGTTTAAGCGAACTAGGAATTTTGACGATTTCTAGACTTAAATTTAGAATGCTAAGTGATGATTGTGAGATGTGTGCGTAAAAATAATTTAGGCAGTATACCTGAATTGACACATGCACTATAATAATATATGGTAAGTTCCTTAATTGTTATTATGTGCTAAATGATTTATATTATAGCATTCTTTAGGTTGCCTACCTAGATTGCTATTCCTTGAATAGACCTTGGTTTGGAAACTTTACGTGGTTATGATTTTAAAGGTATAATTAATGTATTAGAAATGGCATATAACTGTAGATCAAGATGAACAATCAGTGGTTAGAAGGAACCACCCAGAGGGAGGAATCGGTAGGAACAAATGCAAGTACAAGGACTTTACGACTTGCAAACCATCAAATTTTAAAGGAAAATAAGATCTAATTAGAGTTATTGATTAGATTTATGAGAAAGAGTTAGCCCTCATAATGTGTGGTTGTAATGGCAAGTTGTAGACCACTTACGTAGTACGTTAGTTTAGGGGCGGGGTTGTTCGTTGGTGGAACACGTTAGGGAAGACCATAAGCCCTAACGAACCACTATAGCTGACCTGGGAAGAGTTCTTGGTACACTTCAAATGTAAGTTCGACTTGGCCCAAAACATGTTAGAGCTGGAGAACCAATTCCTGACACTGAAGAAGGACAACATATTCATTGCCTTCATAGACAACGTGGGGTTCACTTTGTGCCTTGTACCCTATTAGCTAACAAAAGTCGATAAGTATGAAAAGATAATACCATGGGAGTACTTGATGCCAGTATGTCAGACACTTACTATTGAAGCGTCCATCTGGGTTGCCAAATTCGTTGAAGATATGATCATTGAGGGAACCACTGATAAAGTTGAAATCGGTGAGAAGAGGAAGAATGAAGGATTCTCAAAATCCAACAAGAAGTGTAAATTTTCAAAATCTAAAGACAATAAGTATGATCATAACAATAAGGCAAGGTGGTGTGACAAGTGCAAAAGGAATCACTTCAGGAGATGCATTGAAGAAGTGACCTACTTCAAATATCAGAAGACCGGTCACTATGCTAATGAATGAATGTCCAAGAAGGAATTTTGTTTTAAGTATGGTGAAGAAGTACATTTCAAGAAAGACTTCCAAAAGGAAAGATGAGTTATGAAGCTACACGTACAACCAACACCAAAGGCACGATCATTCTAAATGACCCTGTGGGCAGCAGAAGATGAATCAGATGTCCCTTCAGGAAATCAATAAAAGGAAGCTGCTTATCCATAGTTCAAAACATGAAGTAGTCATCCCATATAAATAGTATTATATTATGTAGCCTGATATAAGAGGCATGAAGTATAGTGAACTTATACAATCCATAATTATGTTATACGGTTCAATGTGTGACATTGAGAAATTATGGTTTTGACATAACAGATTGGATAAGCTGATAGAAGTAGTTTGAGAGCTTTCATCTCTATACCACTAGAACAAATTTTGGTATAGTTTGCCTTGCAGACAAGACACTACACGAGAAACAATTCATATGGAGACTTTAAGAAATGGAAACGAGAGTTGAAGATCTCGTAGGTTATGATTTTTTAAAGTTTCAGCAGAGTATTGTGGGCACTAAAATCAAAATTAAAATCGGTTGAGCGCTAGTCAAAACAATGTAAACGAGAGTTTAAGATATCATAAATATGAACCTGTCAATATAAATACATTCGAGAATAGAGTTCATATGATAGAGATATGATTTTTATACGTGAATTAATAGTCTAAGCCCATTAAAATTATAAAATAAAAAAATAAAGTGAGAATTAGCCGACGAAGACTAAATAAAAGTTTTAGTACTTGTCGATATCAAGATGTGGATATAAAGAACGTCGAAAATGGAGCTCGTATGAGAGAGATATGATTTTGGAAGTTTTAAAATTCAAACTCGGAGTGTACTATGCACGTAGTAAGTAGCACGACACGCCTATGATCTAGAAGGTCATCGTAGCCCATAAGAATTTTGATATGTGTCATAAAGCCGGAGAGCAATGTTGAGCTAAAGGCACGACACGCCTCTTGTCTACGTGCGACGTGCGACCTGTATCTCTATATAAAGCAACCAAATTTCTTCATTCTTCCTCAGAAAGACACTCCAAATCTCTTTGAAATCTCTGTGACCTTTGAGTTTGATTTTTTGGGTACTTGGGATATCTTATCTAGGCTCTAGGGTAGCTAGAATCCCGACAAAAAGAAGCATATGGGTCAGAGTTCTGCTCGTATAATTTCTCAGTTTTCACTAAAATTTATTTAAGCTAAGTTGCACTTACTATGTTTTAAGTGTAACTAATATTTATATTCATAGTCGTTATTATGAATCCATAAATTATATTTATATGTGATTCCAATCATTATATTGATTGATCTACTTACATGAATGATGTCTAGGCTAGCTTTAGTGGGATGTTTAAAGTGAGATTTCTAAACAGTATACTCTATATACCAAACGAACCCCACTTCCAATATGATCTTACCTGGTTATTCCTTACTTGATAGATATTTATGTAGATATTGGGATTATTGATGAATCTAAATTGTCACCAAGGAATATAAGGCCAAGACCTAGTGATAACTATATCTACTTCTTTCCAAAGGAAAAGCTAAGGTGTTAGGCAGAACGCGTCTCAAATCACCAGTCATCCATTTTTAACAAGTGAGTGCATAATTAATTTCAGCTTACACATAGATATCAAGAATTTGATTTACTCAAATACCCTATGTTCTTATTATCTATGTTCCTGATATTTGTGTTAAATGAGATAATGATTTTACTTGAAATAATGATATATATATATATATATATATATATAGAGAGAGAGAGAGAGAGAGAGAGTTAGGTTCAAATGTTTTTAGCAAGTATTGTGTGCCTAAATGCACCAATGAGAATTCAAGAAATAATTAAATCACTAATAAATAATAAAAGGGCATAAGAGTAATCTACACTATAATTAATTATGATAAAAGGAAACAAAATCAATCAATATCCCACTAATTTAGCTTATCAGTTTCATATAACACCACCACCGATTCCCCTACTTCTCTAAAAATCATCGTTCTAAACACAACTCCAAACCCCATGATTTCCAGTCACGCATCCACACGCAACATGATCTGAAACACGCTTCTATTCGTGAAATACAAGCCTGTCGGAATACAAGCCTTGAACTCGTCACCGTGCTCCGGTGATAACAGAAACACCACGAGCTAATCAACCTCCGAGGCGGCAGGTAGTGAATGTCGGTTTCTTGCTGCGGAGAGGAAACAGGAGAAGAAGGAAAACCGAAACAGCGTCGGCAGAGCCTCAAGAGGTCGTCGGTGGCCTTGCCGGTCTAAACACGAGTGTGAAGGGGGTGGCGGTTCACATCTTCAACAGCAGCTTCACAACACCGGTGGTGGAGGCAAAAGGCTGGCAGTGGTGGAGGAAGTAAGAGGGGTGAAGATGGCGGCTGGGTAAACTCCGAATTGATGGTGGCGGCTAGAGAGAAGACGGGTTAGGGTTAGGGTACATGAGCTCAGCGCCGACAAGAGATCCAGAAAAAAAAAAAAAAGAAGAAATACTCTCCAGATCGACACCATACTTTTGATACAGGGGAATTCAAGATGATGTCCGGAAATTACACAACCATTGACAACCAGAATGTTTCTGGATCTGTTCCTATGAAACTTCTTCTCCTCTTCTTCAATTTCATTTTCATCACTTCGATACTAGATCTGAACCCTAATTTATTCGTTGGTAGCTGGATTATATTGTAAGCATTAAGTAATTTGGTTGTTGGTTGTTGCAGATTCAACTCTCCAAACCTTTCCGCCATCTGGAACACAAGGCAAGATCTCAGGCGCATCTGGACCTCCCCGTGATGCCGATGGTGTGTGTTTAAATTCTTGAAGCATCTTATTAGTTTTCAACTATCTACTGCAATTTAGTAACTTCAGTTAATGGATCTCATTTAGTTCAGCTATATAGTTAAATCCATATAAACTTCATCAGTTTTAGGGCTTAGATTACTAGCATTTTAAGTTTCTTCTGGATTTGAATGCATCATGACTTTGGAATTCTTCTTCAAATTAAATCTGGTAATTACCATTCTCTATTATATCGTTTCCGATAGAATATGTTACAAATTCCTTAAGAATATTCAAAGCCATTCTGCAAGAATAGTTTATTTTGTAAGAATATTTATTGATGTATTCTATTATAATGCATTGAATTGATTAATTTTTGAAAATTGATTATCTTTTCTTTTTGGATTTAGGTTTTGAAGAGGCTAACATTGATGTGGAAAAGGAAGAAAACATATAGAACGAGAGTATATTATACCAGAATGTGTTATGCTACAATGTATAAAGTGTTGCTTAAAAATAATATTCTTTCAGAATAGATTAGCGTTTTTGTTAGATTTTTTTTTTCCAGATGGTTGTTATTATTCAATGAATCACAATCATACAATGTAATTATTGTTATATTATTAGTTCAAGAATTGATTTGTGTATTTTTTTTCAGAATGTATTTACTAGTTTATGGTTGGCATTCTGCCATTCTGACAGAATAAAATCGAATAATATATTTACTAGTTTATGGTTCGCATTCTATCATTCTGACAGAATAAAATCGGATTTTTAAATTTGAATTAATTTAGAATATTCAAAATTTTAAAAAAAATAAAGAAATTAATCATCCCTAAAAATCCGAAAATTTCCTTTTTTAATATAGGTTAGTTGACTAAAATGCCCTTATGTTGAAATTTGTGTGATTATACGGTACATGCTATCATATTCTACTATCATAGACCCTCAGATCATGACCTTTGATTATATTCCATCCGATGGTCTAGATCTGTGCATTCTGGCACATAATAGTTAGTAAAAACAAAATAACCTAACCCTATATATATATACACACACACACACACACACACACACACACACACACACATACTTTTACCATACTTATAATGTATTGGGTAAAAAGGATTAAAAGAGAGAGATATAAGATAATGGTGAGAGACCATGCCCAACCTAGTAATACTATAGTAATAAGACCAGGAAGAGAGAGATGAAATAATGGTGAGAAACCATGCTTGAGATAAAATAATGGTGAAAGACCATGCCTAATACTGTACAATTGTATATACTGAGAGCAGTTATCTAGTAGAGTATTGATGACGACCACATACTCTTTTAGACGGTCCAGTGGAATACTAGCAGACTCACAATCTGTAGGTGTTAATGAAGCATACTATCCAAGAGTATGGGTTGTGTGTTCATTCGAGTAATCTATTCCCCTCATGGTTTCCTTAGTAACATGTATTGCTAAGGAATCCCCAAAGCAATATTATCTACTCGTTGTTACAGAGATCCTTTAGGATAGGTCCCTTGAGAGTTGAGTTTATCATTTTAGGATCGAAGAGTGAGAATAATAAGTACAAGTAATCAAGATTAATATGTTTGGTGATATATATATATATATATATATATATATATATATATATATATATATATATATATATATATCAGTGTTGCAGAAATCGGTCTAATCGGCCGATTAATCGCTAATCGGACCTCCACCGATGAGATTTATTGCTAATCGGTCACTATAATCGGGTTTGATCAATACATGTCAAATTCGGAATTAATCGGATCTAATCGGGCCTAATTGGACTTAATCGGACCTAATCGGGTTTGGTCAACGCAGGTTAAAATCGGACCTAATCGTCGATTAATCACTTTTTTGTAGGATTAATATTAGATTTATAATTTTTTGAATATTTTTCTTAATAGTTAATGGTCCCCGATTAATCCCTAATCGCTAGTCCACCGATTAGTGGCTGATTAGCGATTTCTGTAACCATGATATATATATATATATATATATATATATATATATATATATATATATATATATATATATATATAATAATAATAATAATAATAATAATAATAATAATAATAATATTGTGGTTTGAAAACTTTATGTACTTATCCGGCTTCCCAACCCGAACCACTAAGTTTCTTTGTATCATAAGTAGTGGTATGAAGGTACAGAGATATTGATGTTTGAATCCACTAAGAGATTCAAGGAGTTTATGTCATTAGTACAATAAGTTGTCGTAAGGCCTGTAATGACTATGTTTATACTTATATTTCTTGTATTCGTTATGACATACAAAGTTTTTAATAATTAACGAAAAAACATTTTTTCGGAAATGCTTTTACCTCACATATTTATTATGGGACACAGTTCACATTTATACAATATACTTCGTTTTAAAATAAAAATAAAGAAAGGGTCTTTTGGGTAGTGAAAAATGGGGACAATAACAAACATGTAGAAAATTAGCCAAAAGAGCTTCTTTTTTCCTCGAATATCTTGCTAAATAATGGCTAGTAAAAAAACTATAATCGGATAAACAAAGATGACAAATCGGAAAACCGGTCCAAACTCCACACAATATCACCAAAACTAAAGATGACAAATCGGACAATCGTGTCGTATTTTTTTGGCACGGCACGACACGAAAAAGTTTTATGTGACATGAAAACGAAAATAACATGATGTCGTGTTTTCTTTAACTAATACGAAAACGAACCAATTAAAAAAAAAAACAAACACTACACGACACGACAAAGATAACATAAAATAATAATTTGATTATTTAATTAATGTTTAATCATACATAACACAATAAACACGACAAACACGAAAAATACGACAAAAATGCTAAATTGTGTCAATTTTGAACACAAACACGACACGACACGACACAACATCATGTTTTTTACCAACACTTGACATAAACATGACATGAACACAAATTCGAATTTTAGTTTCATCCAAATTTCATTCCGTGTCATGTCATGAATTACCACCCTAACCAACACGGATCGATAACCGAGAGACAAATGAAAACCAAGTTATATAAAAAAAAATAAAAAAAAAAAAAAAAAAAAACCCGGTTATGAGAATAACCGATCCGTTTTTTGGATGGTTGAAAGAAACCCGATTGAGACTTGAGCCCAAGAAAAAAAAGGCTGGGTAGGATGTGGATTATTGTGGAGTGTGTGGACTATGGAGGTTTAGCCGATCAAGCCCAAAATGCTCATTTTGAATTTGATAATACTTTTGCAATTGAATAAAATTGAAGTTATTTAAATATTTACGATGAGATTTCGTTTTGAACTTTGAAATGAATTTTAGAAAAATAGATTTATTAACTTACAAATGAGAAAATAAGTTTATTTTATTTTATTTTTTTAATATGACTTAAGTTATACATGTAAAATAATCAGAAAGTAATCATGACTTCTTAAAATAGGTGATTGTAAGTTATAAATTGTTTTAAAAAGAAATCCTTGACTTTTTAAAATCTTCTTTTGAAATAATTAACAACAAATTATATTAAAATTCCTTATACGCGGATAAAATCTCAAACACCCTTTATGGCTCTCATAACAATATGGTTATTTTTGTGATCATAGTAGATTTTCATGTGACATAATAAATAATGATGTGTAATATTAGGAATTTTAAAATAAGAGCTGTCTCTAATATTAGACACTATTTTAATCTCCATAACATTGCCACATTACCATTTATCATATCAAAGTTATAAACAAGTAAACATTCAATTTTTATAAATTTATCTCGGATACTTATAAACTTTTTAAAAGTTCTATAAATGGAAAATGTTTTATAAACTTTTTAAAAGTTCTATAAATGGAAAATGTTTTATTAACATTTTAATAAAAAAAATACTTTTCTAAAACTAATAATTAAATAATATTATTAACATTTTTATAAAAAAAATATATTTTTGATGATTATTTTGTCAAAATACTTAAAGGAAATGTCATATTAGCTTAACTAACTTATTATGTTTGTTTTTTAAAGGTCACTAATTATTTTTTTGTACATTAAGGGAATAAAGTAAAATGTAAAATGTTGAAATCGTCTTTTAACCCCTTATCAGAGGTCACTCAACTATAATAATAATATAAATTAAAACAAATTTTAAAAAAAAAAGGAAACCTTAACCGTGATCATAGGCACCAACCCATCTTCATCCCTTCGTCTCCGTCTCTACTCTAAACACCGAATCCACACAGCATCGCCGCAAACCCTGTCGGAGACACCCTCATCTATTCCACCTCTGTCTTCTCTTGCCGGAAACCTCCATCGACAACCAACCGTCGCCCATATCTACTTCGCATCCCTGTAATGCATCTGCAGTCCTCCAACCTCTTGGAACGGTGGTGATACTACTCGATCAAACCATCTTCGGAAAAATCCAACACTACATTGCCACAATGGACATCCTACAAATTGATTGAAGAACACATATACAGACAGAAACAAACATCTAAAATGTAACACCTTTTCCAGGTATTACTTAATTTATTTAAGATCTAGGGTTTTGGTGTGTGGACTCGGCGAGTTGGGAGTCCAACTCGTTGAGTAAAGGGAATTTCAAGGACGTGGGATCTACACCCTACTCGACGAGCTGGAAGGCCGACTCGACAAGTAGGTGTTGTAAAGATAAAACCCTAATTTTAGGGTTTGCACCCTATATAATCTCCTTAAGAGCCTTGAGGTTAACCTCCCATCAGCCTCCAAAGCCTAAGAATGCTTGTGCTAACTCTAATCCCCACTCTCTTCCATTTTGTGGGCTAAAGTGACTTTTGAAGCTTAAGAAGAAGGAGATAGTGAGAAGATCCAGCAAACCAAGCACCCATCCTTGAGCTTGACCATCTTGTGGACTATTGTAAGTCTTCAAGACTCAATTTTTATCATAGAATATGGCTAGATCTTGAGTTTACTATTCATTTCCTACCCTTCTTGTTGATTGCATGCATGGGGTTCA